TCCTATCTCAGATAATCCTTTTATATTACATTTATTTCCTTAGGAAGAAGATTAGGCACTTTTAAATGAATTGTAGTGATTTTAGTTTCTGCTATCCTTGCATATTGCTGCAATTATCTGCATGGGCTCTTAGTTGCCCTGCTGCCATCACAGAGCTGAAAAATCTAATAATGGTTCAACCAAAACCTGCTCATTCTGTGTTTGTGTCTGATATATCAGTATCCCATGAAATGAGCACCTCTGATATTTAGATGGAATTAATTTCATACTCCTACCCAAACAAGATCTGCTCACCACTTATCAAATATGTTCCAAGGTGAATTTTAGATGGAACTTGTAGTGGCTTTTTCCTTCAGGTAAATTCTACTTTATTGGGACAAGTCTCTCTAACTCCCTAGATGACTCGAATGTGTCATATAGTAGTATCCTAAAGGCTGTGTTGAATTACTGAAGAAAAATGTATCTGATCTGTGGTCAAGGTGTTACAAATTGAATGCAGCATACAGAAAAAAACATCCTAACTACAGGCTAGAAAGGTGTTACAAATTGAATGCAGCATACAGACAAAACATCATAGCTATAGGCTAGGTTAAAAGGATAACTCAGGAACTTTAATCCCAAAATTAGAGATTGAGCAAAGGAGTATTTTTATTATTTTTTAGGTGTTATGAGGGCATACCTTTTTAGCCTGTGTCCCTCAAAAGAAGAGGTATCACAATCTGCACTAATGCTACAAACAACCCTAAGAGCTGTATTGCTGGAGGGCTTCTTCAGGTTGGCATTTCTACAAGTCACTGCATTTTGCTGCTTGGATTTACTGTGCTTGGCCCCAGCACACAAAGGGTGGCCCAACTCAGCTGCCTGGAGGACCTCAGTCATATGAGATGCTCTGATACTTTCTCACTGAGAGTTTCTAGTCTCTATTAACTAGAACACTCCAAACTGATTGAATTTAATGAGAGTTTTTCCACTGACATCATGACTTTGATTTATTCCCTTAGTACATAACACATTGTTTCAAATGTGAGTCTTAATATCCTTATTCAGTCTGCAGTGCTTCCAAGTTAAATACCAATAAACAGAAGGAAAAAATCCACAAGACAAGTTTAAGGGATTGCTTTGTGTCTGTTAGGGGCAACTCTTGACTAATGCAAAGAAGCAGTAGGAAAGGGTGTCTTTGGCCTAGGAATTCAGAGTCTGAGGGACTCTTTACAGACGGAATGTTGCACAGCTGAGTTATTTTCTATCAGAAATGGCAACTAAACCTCTCATGCAATAGTTAGACCAGTAAGAATGCTAATGGAATAAAAACCTTGTATGTTTATGTTAATGAAATCTGTCAGCCACAGTATTTTTCTTCTATTTTTAGTGTGGTTTTCTGAAGAAATGAGGCTTATACAGTTGCCATGGCTGTCTGTCCATCTGTTGATCCCCCCCGCTCCTCCACGTAACTTTTCAAACTGTCAGCAAATTTCAGCCAATCTGGAAAGAAAGGAAAACCTCTCAAAGTCATTACCATTTTTATGATTTTCATGAAGTCTGGTGGAAATTTTCCAAAGGCTTTATTAACGTCCCCTCAAGGTAAAGCCATGATTGCTCGTCCATTGTCCTTCCAACGTACAAATGTACAAAAGCCACCTGCCCTCTCGTTGTGTGAAAGATTTTAAACCAGTTAGAGCATGGGCTGTTTCTTGCTTGCCTCAAAGCAATGGAAAAGCAAAGGTTTTGTGGGAGCCAAAGATGTCACTGGAGACTTGTAACTGTAAGGTGTCAGATGGGAAAAAGAAATAAGTGAGACCACCAAGACGAATAGGTGACAGCAGTAAGGGAGGGATGCCTATAAGGTATCATTCACTGTCAGTTCACATCAGGGACATGACTATTTTTGAAGGATAAGTAAACATCAAAAAACCCGAGACTATTGTCAGTGAGGGGTGCAGAGTAAACCCAAATGTGTAACAGGGTGGTAGGAAGCTGGTTTCCAGCAGTGTTGTGGGGTTATGTAAGAAATCCATAGGAAACTGAGTTTCATTTGCTCAACTGCTGACAGAAGAACTTGTCTTAGTGAGCTTTTTGTTGGCAAGGTTAGACGAGGGAATGACTGAAGTTATTCAGAAAATATGTTCTCATGATTTCTTTGGGCCTGTGCAATTGTACTGATAGAGATTGCAACTCTTTTTCATGATAAATTATGGCCAGAAAGCATAACTACCCTCTGCTGCTGCCTTCCTGGCAGCACCCACTGGCTTCCTTGATTCCAGGACTTAGTTCTTAAAAGGACAATTGTCTTGCTGTGCCATGAAGGTGGAGCTGCAGTGATTAAATGGAGTCTTTGTGAGCAGCTCCTTGGATGATGTGAGGAGGACCCTGCTTTAGAACCCTGGGGAAGCTTGTATTACTTGGATGGCAATCAGCATGTCTTGGTGGATGAAGCACTGGCCGTCTGTGTATCGTTAAGGAGCTCCAAGAGTCAATTCAGTCCAGACAGTAAACAATGAATTGCTGACACTTTCAGCTCTGCAAGAGCTCAGAAATACCAGCGTGCACATCTGAGCTGTATCAGTGGAAGCACACAAGGATTACATTCTTTTGGTGATGGCTGCATTTTTATGTGAATAATCTGATGGGAGCCTGATGGCGTCCAACACATCCATTCTTGCCTTGTGGTGCTTTTGCCATCTCAAATGTTGTTAGTTTTAATGACACAATTATCCTTTATATATTCAGTTAGACGTGTGGGTTGCATCCTGCCCCCCCACCCCTTTTTGAGGGGGGGTTATAATTAGTTTCCCTGAGAGGCAGCAGCTTTAATGCTTGGGTAGTTTGCTGAGAAGCTGGGACTGAAAGAAGCTTTTGGGAAATGACAATTATATGTCCATGGCTTTTATTTGTCTTTGTCTAAGCTGAAAGCTCTTGTTGACTGGCAGAAGATGCATTGAATCGGTGAAATTATGCAATTTGGGTGTCATGCCCCCCCCAAATCATACAAAGGACTTGTATATTGACTGACAGTAAAGTGCAATTTTTTGGCTGAATTTATACCAATTACTGGTGAAAAAAAAAAAAAAGAATACTCCTTTCCTCTTATTCTCCAGGTCATTGATTGAATCCACATGAATTTTTGCTGAACTTTTATAGAAGTTTATATGCTATGCACAGAAATTTTTGTAATCTTTTTATCAAGATATGACTATTTTATCAGTGTATCATAGTAAGGAGAAAAAAAATACTATTGGCTTGGAAATGACCTTGAAATGTTCTTTTATATTTCCCTTTCTGTTGTCAGCCCAAGGTGGCCCATGTCTGTCTTGGGGATCTTGTATTACCCCATAAAATCCACTCTAGGACTACCTATATGGATACATAAGGACTCTGCAGTGGGTTTAAACAGTAGTAAAAGAAAACATCTACAGAAACTTGTCAGAGATCAGATAAGATGTTATCTTTTGAAGCTTGATATTTGCAGTTAGTTGCCCTTGTGTTGTGTCTTGGTTTTGTGGCATCATTAAGAAAAAACAAAAGAGAACAGTTTTCACAGTTTGTGAAGCTCCAGTGGGGATGCACTGAAGTGAGGACTCCCATCACCAAGAGAAAATCTGTGGTTTTACCTGTAGTTTATGGTGCCTTTTTGCACAACAAATCTAATGAAGAAGTTTTAAGATCATGTGAGAGGTCTTGTATGCTCTGCCTGACTGGAAAATTTCATTGTTATCCTGGAATGATTAAGAGAAGTATTTTATTTCCAAGACAGAATGGGGACACCTCCCTCCATCTTCTCATAGTGCAGGAAGCAGCACTGACTCCTGCCATGCTGACTAAAGCAGCCTCCCTCCCTCCCTCCCTCCCTCCCATGGGTCAGGCTGCTTTCTTGCCCACTGTGCTCCTTGCAAGAGATACAGTGGGGATGATGTGAGGTGGTGCTTCTCCTCAGCAGCTGCTGTGGCCACTATGGGACCCCTAGGGAAAGTCAAGCACTGCCCCCCACTCTGCTCCCCTCACTTATGTCTCTGCCTGGCCAGCATATTACTTGAATTAACGGGGAGAGCAATCAGTATTTCTTGTAAGTTGTTTCACCCCTCCAGTTAAGCTCAGCTTCAAGTCAGGACAAAGCCAGGGTTTCCATCACTTCCAGGAGCAGCTATTTCTCGCCAAGAAAGCACATAGCAGCTAGAAATGGAAAAAAATCAGTGTATCATAGTAAGGAGCAACAACAAAACAACAACAACAACAACAAAAAAAAAACCAACAAAAAAAAAAAAAACAAAAAAAAAAAAAAACCAAAAAAAAAAAAAAACCCAAAACAAAACAAACAAACAAAAAAAAACAAACCCCCCCCCCCCAAAAAAGGCACTTTTAGGTCTCTTGGTCAATCACTGCCTCTTGCTATTTTTTTTTTAAGGTATGTTTGGGAATGATGTATCTGTGCTAGTTTTACCTGTCTCTTGAGGAGGGTTTCCAATCCCTTATTTTAAATGAAGTACTAATCCCAGATGAAAAGTCTAATCTACTGGCAAAGTCAATGATATCATTTGTTTATATAAATTCTGTGCTACTAGAAGGTGGGGGTGGGAAGATAATAAAATCCCTTCACCATCTTGTATTTTTACTTGTCACGCTGTGTATGCTGTCAGTGAAGCTGTGCTCTGGAATGATCAGGGGTGGTATGGCCCCAAAAGGCTGTTGGTAGGGAAGAGGAGTCAGGGTGTCTGCACTCTGGCTTGAAAGAGTGTGCTACACGGTTCTCATTTTCTGCATGCATGATTAAAATTAAAGGAAAAAAATAATCTTGGCTCTAGCAATGGGAACCACACAGATGTAAACTGAATGCAACACTGATTTTATTTTTGCCTGCATGTCGCCACTTCCTGTGACCTGAAGGACAGATTTGTCTCAGAGTTTTCTACAGCACAGGCAAAGACATTAATTATTCTTTTCAGAAATAATGGGAGAAAAGTACCATATTCAGTGTTTCATGATATACTTTCTGTGTTTTACTTTAGGTGAGTCTAACAGCTTTCCAAAATCCCGGATCTGGTGGAGATTTTATCCATTCATTCCTTGGAAGTTGAGGATCCCAAACGTTTTCCCAATCTGATTGATATCACCTCTCATAAATGCAGGTAAGGCACAGGCGCACACCATGAGGAAAGCACATGTGACCTTGTGTGCATTTATATATATTATATGACCCTGTTGGTCATGAGATACATAGATGCCAGCTTCCTCCCCGGTCAGGGGACTGCATACATGCATGTGCATGGCCAGAAACATTTCTGGTGTGTGAGTAAACACAGGTAATCTCTCTCTGTGTTTCTTGAGGATGGATTCTCCTAGGAGCTGAGAAGCCCTGCCAGCTGGGTGGGTGCCTTGGGGGTGTATCACTGCTCCATGGCACTGCAGAAGGTATTTCCATTAGCTGTCCATGCCTCAATAGCCCACAGCCCCTTCTTACGTGTGTGGGCTCCTGCTCTGTTCGCATTCCCTGCATTTTCACCTTCACACCTTGTGTTGATACCTGTGTGCAGGTATGAACAGGCATCAGCCTGGTGCCTCCTTCACAGACCTCGCAGCTGCTCCGCACGGCACCAGCTGTGCTGCAGCTCTCCACCCGCAGATGTAGAAAGCCTTAGCCTGGAAAGCCAGGCCCTTCACATGGTGCGTTAACTTGAGGTTACCAGGATGAATAGGTTAGAATTCCACTTCCAAAGAGATGAGTTCAAATTTTGGTTGCAGAGGGAATTATGTTTAAAGATCTCAAGCCCTTGGGAAACTTTCCAGTTTCTGGGGTTATCAGTGCTTAATCATACCCTCAGCCCAGTGCAGGGTTCTCTCTCAAGTTCTCTCTCAAGATGGGGCTTGTTCAGGGACTTTTATGGATTTTTTTTGCATGCTTGCTTTTTAAGTGGGACTCTTTCGCAATTTAATTTGTTTGTTAAAGGTATCTGCTTTCAGAAAATTGCTGAGAGTTTGTTATGTAGAGAGAGTTAAACATATTTCCTCCTGGTTAAAAGGTACATGACACCAGAAAATGTAACTGGGAGAGGAAGCAAGAAGAACAGAGGAGAATGGGGAACATGTTGGCATAAGACACGGTTGGCATATGACATTCAGAGGAATTTTTAAATTTACATTCTTTGGACTTTGCTTATTACATGATTATTACATTTTAGCTAGTGAAACAAGGGATGAAAATATCTGGTGGCGTAGGCCAGAGCTGGTATAGCCATCTTTTTGCTCCCATACTCATAGGTATAGTTATGCTTTTGAAAGAGGAGTTCCTCCAGAAATGTAAGGTATGACAAATGCATCAGCCCCTGCCTGCACCTTGCCATCTAAGTTCTGGACTCAACAGTTCTCCATTTATGACACAACAGGAACATATTTTATTCTGCTCTAGTAGCAGCACTCAATTGAATGTTACTGGCTTGTTGGGAAATTAGATTATTTGTCTAAAGCTCTAGGCAGGGGACACATTTTTAAAGTAAGAGTAGACTGTTCAAGTGATGCCAACATTATCAATCTGTAAATTGCAGATGAGGTGCACTGAGCAAACAGTGTGCTATCTCTCTGAATGCTTAAATTTGTGCACATTTTGGCAACTTCTTTAAAGAAGGGAAGAGCTGGACTGTCAGCACTGATTTTAGTTTTGCAATGCTATGGCTTTCTATTTATAGTGGTCATGAAAGAGGTCCTGAAGGCAACATTTCTTGTCAGTGAATTAAAGATTCCCTCATATGTGCAGTATTTGCTTTAATTTGAATATTTGTCATGGCTAGTGAAAGATAGACTGAGAAAGAGAGAGTAAACAACGGTTTTCAGGTCTCATCAGCTTACTTGCATCTTCTTAGTGGCAAAAATTAGAGCCCTGTTTGAGTGGTTACAATGCTCTGTGCATGCCAGCGTGGGAAGCTGCTCATTGCTGAGGGGATGTCACTTTGTATGGTTGTTTTACAGCCTTGCATGTTAATGTGGAGACTCTGGCCTAACTTGTTTATAGCAATTGATCAAATGTAAAGCACCTACCTCAACTCTGAGGTGGCTTCCTGATGTCACCCCTAAGTGGAGCAGGAGATATGCCCAGCTGGAAAGAAGCAGTTCAGGGCTCTGGCTGTGCTTCCAGCTGCAGAGCTGCCCACTGCTCTCTGGTGCAGGGGCTGTGTTCTTGCCAACCAGCCAAGCTCCAGTCACTTAATCAGCACCATAGGCTTCTCATATTTAGTTGCCAATGTATACCTCTGGGCAACATTCTCACTCTCCAGTGCCTGCTAATTAATTTGTTTTTTCACACTTTCCTGAGATTTGGATTGGCACCAAAGCCCCAGAGGGAAGATTCTAGCTGTCAAAAAGTGAATATTTATAATGAACGTAAGGTGTAGATGGAAACTACATAGTTGTCATACAGCAGCTATGACATAAAAGATGCTATTTCTTCCATGCCGTTTCCCATAAGGGAAGGAGATATTTTGGGAGGGCAGATGTGATTACAGAAGACAGCTACATGGAAACTGTCACTGAATGCTCCACACGCTGAAATAGAGTAGTGTGCAGGAACAAGGCTGTGAGAAATATTTTAATAAATATTAAGTTCATGGATGAATAACAAAAATATGTAAGTATTGATTAAACATGGCTGGCTAGCCTGTGTCACATTGTCCAGTTGAGGAACACAGGATTCAGAGTGGGAAGGTGAGGTTTTCCTCCTGGACCTGAAACTAATGTTCTCTAAAGCCTCAAATTGTATTTTCCTCTGATTTCATACCCTTCAGTCCAGCAACATGTGCCTCAGCTTCCTCATTTCTTACATGCTCCTGTCTGCTAACATAATCCCAGACCATTGGTTGTAAGTTATATATAGGACCCAGGATTGAATCTTATGGAAGTGTGAGATATTAAAAACCATCATTGTTTTTAGGCTCCTGGCCCTTTGCTGAGTGATAGCACACTTTGCAGCCCTGTGGGAGCCCTGTATAGAGACCAAGATTCCCTTTCTGTGTCTGGGGCTTCTCCCATCAGCCTTAGAGCCCTGGTGCTCAGGGCTTGCCTGCCTGCTGTGATGCCACCCCTACTCCCAGGCCCTGCACCCTCACACCACCAAATACCAGGATCCCACAGGCAGTGTCAGCTGTTGAAATGGCTTATTAATTAACTGTAGGGCAGCACCTCTTTAAATCTGGAATTTATCTTCATGCAGTCTGATAACCATACAGAGTAATCCTAGCACATAGCATCTTTCTCCATAATGGTACCACATCATGGGTTTGTATATCAAGGAACCCTTTGTGCTCCATGTTGTCAGCAGATAGGGTGAGCTCTACCCAGTTACTCTTGCAACATCCTATTTTCCTCATGATGCTTCAGGGAATCTTCAGAAGTGCCCTTTAAATGGTTTAAGAGAAGTAAGTAAATCTGTTTTAAATATGCTGTACTACTGAAGATGATCTGAATGATGAAACAAAAGACAAAGTACAGGTGACTGGTAAATAGCCAAGGACGTAAAATATGAAAACATAAAATAGCTGATGTATAGTTCATTTGGTACCTGCAAGACCTCTGTGTTGAGTGCAAACCCTTGTGAGGCAGAAACCAACACCTCAAACCTCCCTGCAACCCGTGGAGTTGCAGATAGGTGGTGGCAGTCATTTGTGTGACTGATTTTTCCTGTCCCCACTGAGTAACTGCAGAACTACAAAGCTGTAGTCTCCGGGCCTGCACTGGAAACACAGAGACAGCCCTTCCCTGGGATGCTGTGGGAGGTGTGGGGGCTGCCTCCTGCTCCATTTTAGCAAGAGAACATCTCTACAGCTCCCCATACCACCTTCTGTAGAATGACAACCAACATATGACTTGGGATTGAAATCCTTGCAGCTGATGGAAAAACAATTAAGTCTCATTAAAATTCTACGTAGAGAGCCAAGAAAAGGAAGATAATGTCAGAGGAAAGGTGATACGTAGGACAGTACAGAGAATTCTCTTAAGTTAAGCCTGTCATTAGGCAGGAGCACAGAAGGTGCTAATTGTACAGTGCATTTCATTCATCCCACAAAGAATAATTAACACTTTCCCTTCTGCCTGCACTGAAAGGAACGGATTCAATACATATGCTCTCTTGTTAAGGCAGGAGTTGTCATATTCTGGGTCCTTATGTGCAGAAGAATTTCACTGCTGGGTTTCTTCACCTGCTGACTGTTGAAAAGGGAACATTACTAATCATGTGAGAGAATGCTGATTTCATTAATGTCTTTGTGTGTTTTCATCTCTTGCTGTTACAGAAATTATTGACCCAAGAACAAGCATCAGAACTGGCTTTCAGGTAAACACAGGATTAAATATTACCCTAAATAGGGAAGAGCTGACCAGAGATTGCTCCTACCCTGGAAATCTGCATAGATGTACTGGAAGGGGTGGAGAACAGTGCAATAAAGGACTTGGGCCCATGTGGGCTTCCAGCAACCTAGAAGGGTGCTGGGCTTTTTTTCTTAAAATTTATTTCCAGGCTGATTCAGTTATTGACAGAGAAACCAAAAACCCTTGCTACCTTCATCACTCCCATTTCTGAGCAGTATTATTGTGACAGAGTGACAACTGCTTAGCAAGTCTTAGCCCCACCAGGTCCAGTTTGAGTGTTTACACACAGCTTCACTTTGAAGTTTGCACTTGAGCCTCCCACATTCCTTATGAGATTGAACTACAGGTGATAGTCTTCACTTCCTTTGAACTTGAGAACATGTCATTGCATCTTATTACCCAGCTGATGCTATACTCCAGTGGTGACCACGCTTCAAGGCTGGGGTGAAGTGATCCATGCCAGTGTAGTCCTTCTATTTCACAGAAATAATTCGGATTGACTAGTTAAAGATTACAAAGCAGCGTGGCATGGTTGGTTGTAAATTCTATAGAGGAAAATAAGATACTCTACACAATCTGATACTTTTGCCAGAGTCTCTGTAAGAGAAGGTATGTGTGTACAAGCTCGTGTACTTCATGTTAACTGAAGTTCATCCCAGTTCCTGCCAGAGACAGCCCAAACAACCATGGGTTGGTCTACCTGTAACTACATAGCCGTTATTTGGACTTCAACCAGTCTATTTTCATTCATAGACTGCCCACCATCCATCTATGAAGCTTATTTTCCTGTGAATGCCCCAGGAAGTAAAAAGCAATGAAATGTGATAATCAGGCAGGGGGAGGCAGGGAAGGAGGCACCTTTGGTGCTTTGCTGAAAGTTAAAGAGGACGTAGTTGCTGGTGGTGAGAGTGACTGAGTAGGTGCTGGTGGTAGAGTATTGGTAGGCCCAGAGGGATGTCTGTGGGGTGTGAGCAGTGGGGGTGTTCAGGGGTGAAAGCATGAAGGCTGCCACTGTAGGAGATGCTCTGTCAAGCAATGAAGAAATCCTGGTTTTTTTGGAGTCAAGGAGCTGTTGGCTTATGGGATCAGGAAAGCTTTCAGGTGTAGATCATCATCCTAGATGTCTCTAGACAGTCTTACAGAGTGACAGAAACAGCTAGAGAATTTCTTAGGCAAATGAGGAACAATTACCCATCCCAAACTCTCCAACTGAGGTGCCTAACTTGGTGTCATTCCCTTGTAAATTGATACATCAAAGAAAGTCAATGAAACCAAAACCTGAAGGTTAACGATGCAAAAAACAGCAAGAAGGGCAGGTCATAGCATTACAAAAGGACATTGTGATTTTAGACCCTATTACCATATGTCAAATGAATATATTCCATGAGAGTAGTGAATGGAACTCAATTCCCAGTGTAAGGGAAGGAGGATCTCTGTTGGTTTAGGGACAGGAGACCATCAGCTTCCAAAATTTTGTAAGCATCAGTGGTTTTTGCATGCCTAACAGAAAAAATGTCTCATGCTGGGCACCCAAATCCGGAGGCCACTTTTAAATTTTGTTTTGTTCTTCTGGTTGAAGTGGAAGAAACATATCTAACTTACAGTCCTTTCCTACAGGCACGTTGACTTGAAAGTTAATCATAGTTCTGGCCCCAGATGGTTACAGTGAGTCTGCTTCTCTGTCTGTGGGAGTCCTAAAGGATACTTGATAGCTGTCCAAGTAAGTGCTTAAAAATTGAATCATAAAGGCAAAGTAACTAGATAGCATAATCCAGAATGATCCAAAGGAAATGGAGGTAGAATTAAGTGTTTCAAGCCCCCAGCAGTGTCCCATAGATTTTACCTGATAATTGTATGGCATGCATGAAGAGTTATGCATGGTAGAGGTGCGCTGAAGGTATACCTTCATATTTTCATCAGGGATATCCCGTAGAAAGATACTTCCTGCTTTGCCATGGACAGGAATCTTAATTTTATATGATATGTAAAGAAATGTTAGCAAAATATTTTTCAGCCATATATCATCATATCATATCATATCATATTGTATCATGTAATAATCATATGTTATGTTATACTGTATGTGAAATTGGTGTGTCTGTCTGTATGTTTGTTTTGCAAATTCATTTACAAACAGCTAGCACTGTTTCCATGCCAGAAGGCTTTGATAAGGAGAATAGTGCAAGCTACTTACAGTCTCCTTATGTCCTCCCTGTAATCACAAGCAAGATAAATATAGAAATCTCTAGGGCTGAGATGTGAGATGCAGTATTGATGAGCAAATGTGGAATTGGCCTCACTCAAAATATCATTAGGTCAGCTGGTGAATTGAGATGGAGATGGATGGAGATGGAGCTAAGTGAAAACCTGCCGAGGTGGGGAGGGAGGGATGTGTGGTGTTGTGCACTACTGGATCCCTTGCAGGCTTGCAGAAAGGCCAAAACCAATGAGGTTTGAGACTGTGGAAAGTTTCAAGTTATATGTAGCTTAATCCAAAGTTCAGTGAAGCTGAAGAAAATCCCCCATGGTGCATGAATATTGCATGTGTTATGGGACTTCCATTTTTTGAAGAGCAATTACCTCAAATGAAGGGACACAAGAATTCCACAAAACCTCAGTCTTATTCTGTGTGAGGTTACAATGGATAAGAAGGGAAGAAGGAGTTGCTTTTTCTCTCAAGGTGAATATGAGCGAGTTAATTTCTGGATGAATTTCTTGAGTCACATCCAAAGTCTACACTAAGTTACAAAAGATGAAGAAGGTAAGAAGTCCATATGCAATACCGGCCATGAAAAACCAAGGAGGGAAACAGTCATGACCCCGTGCCTCATCCTCACCACATCTGTTCAGGAGCAGCAAGCCATCACAGTCAGCAACTGCACGTCTGTCTTGGATGCAACACATTCCCTCTTTTCTGGAACAAACTGTAAGCATGAAATAGTGCAAAGTAAGTCAAACCTTTAGCAAAGGTTGAGTTTTACAGCTGCATGTACTAATGCCCTGTAAACAGGAATCACCTGTTTTGCTTTGTCATTGTAATAACCAATAGTATTTGGAAGTTGTTCTATCAGCACAGAACCTCACTGCTGCAGCCTGGAAAACCCTCTCTTTCTGTTAAGACTCCAAGAAGGACTGCTAGCTGTGTATGTGACCACTGGGCAAAAGATACAGCACAAGTCCATTGAGCAAACAGGCCAAGTAGGTACATGGAAATTAGCAAGTGCTCATGCACTACCCTGGGAATAAGTCACATGGAATGTGACACCTCTGGGGACCAATTGGTAGTGCAAAATATGTATTCAGAGCTGTGAGCAACCCAAAGGGATAAGCATCTGTACTTAAAACATGCAATTAGTAATTTGCAATTACTAATGCCACACTCAGCAATTATGTTTTAAAATTGGTATTTTTTGTTTAACATGTGGCTGAGGACTGATTTATTATTTGATTTCAACTCCTTAATGAATTGCAGTAATTCTGGCAGTTATTAATTGTGAAAATGAACATGCAGGATTTTATCTCTCAGTATCCACTCTGGTTTTTATGGCTGCTATTTTATTCCTTTGTGATTGCTCTAGGATTGACTTTGCTTGCCAATAGTTACAAGTTAAAACCAAGTTTTAATATATTTCTTGGCTGAAGTATAAGATTGAGGGCAGGGGTTGTTTCATTTGTGATTTGTGTGGGGTTTTTTCTCTCCATCTTCTGGGTTTTTTCCTATTAATTTCTAATTCAGTTGCTCCAAGTCTTTAGTATATCGATCTGTTTCATATTAAAGGAATAATAGCAATTTTCCCTGAATAAGCAACACTTGGTGATGTGTGTTCTATTTAGGCAAGAAAGAAGAATCCAAGAAGAAACTGTGCTTCCCAGGGAAGGGAAGAAATGTCACCAGTGAAACATTATAGCACTGTTATGAGGATCTATGGGGCTAGTGGACAGGAAAATGTTGGCCTCTGCTGACACTGAATCTCTCTTTTTCTTCCTGAAGGAATTCCTCCGCTGTGGAGAGCAGCAGTCAGAGCCAGAATCAATATCAGGGATTGAGGAAACCACAGGAAAAGAGGAATTTTTACTCTGCCTACAGCAGAGTGAGACGACTGGGATTAGCTACCTAAGCCTGGGTCAGATGCTCTCTAAGAGAATATTAGAGGCATCATCTATGGGGAAGAATCACAGAATGGGTAAAGTTAGAATGGACCACAGTGGGTCGCTTGGTCCAACCTCCCTGCACCAGACCTAATTATGTAAAGAGCATACACACAAAAGGGATACAAGAACATTGACAAGTAGTAAGTCTCTAATTGCTGAAGCAGTTACAAGACAGTGGGAGAAATGGGAAGAAACCTATCTGATTGGAAAGTGGAGGTGGAGGAGATTATCTCAAGTCTGTCTAGGTGTTGTCCCTCTGACATTCAGCAGTTTGCTCACACTACTACCTGAAGGCTCCCCTGTGACATTATGAGGTTCTGATACTTTGTGCAGTCTCCCACCAACCTCCTGGTCTAGTGCCAATGTCTGGCAGAAAACATTATGCAGATCCTGCCTTGTAAGGATCATGGGGCTTTCCAAAGGACTCTGACCTGGTCAAGAGCAGACTGAATTTATAGTCAGCCCAAGCTGCGGAGAAGGAAACTTGGACTTCAGATGCTGGAGATTTTCAACTTCAAAGCATCCTTGGGTGCACTCTAGCAGGCAGAGCCTAGACAGAGCCTGAGAGCCCCTGTCCTTTGTGAGATTTGCAGTGATTAGTTATGGTGAATGGATGTTCTGAGTCCTGTGGGTTTCCGTGTACTTTCCAGTCTGACGATTCTGAACTCACAGAATTCAGCAAAGCACATAAATGGGCTTTGCTGAAGTGGGAGAAGGTTCAGACTAGATTTCTGCAATGCTGTGTGAATGTTCCTTTACCCTTGTACCTCCATCCAGCCACCAACCAAAAACTGTGTGAAATGGGTTCTTGATGTCAGTGCAGAGTGGCATGTGATTGATTCCCTTATAATTTGGGGTGAGCTGAGGCTTTAATCTGGAGGATTTAAGAGGCTTTAGGACTGGAACTCTGAGGAGGAAGGAGAATATTCGTTCAAAAGGTTGTAAAATTTTCTTAATATCTACTCCCCAGAGCCATATGGAAAGTTCACTAAGCCACCTAAATGTTTTCCAGAAATTTTGTTGCATGGAAGCATCCTCATGACTGTAGTGCATGCTTTGACTTACAGTCAAAATTGGTATTTCCATTAATAATAATAATAATAAGCTGGTTGATTACTGTCATCAATTCCTGGCTGCTAGAAATGACAAAACTTCTCTTTTTCTCAAATATTTTTCTAATGACAGGATAGAAAATGAAAAAGCCCTACCATTCTCAGACCAAAATATGAGTTAGTCTAGTTCTAAAAGTGAGAGAATGGAAAATTCTACTTTCAGGTCTTGAAAAATTATTTTAAAAATATGAAGTCCCCATGTAAAAATGTTATAGAGTAAGTGATCATAATCTTAGTGGCTCAGAGATACAAAGTAAACCTGTGGTACCGTGACTAGTAGCAGCCCTTTGGGTAGCTATTTCTTATCTCACATTATATTGATGTCTCTACTAGGCCTGAACTTGTTAGACATGACACTCCAATCTCAGAGTAGATTACTGCAGTAGCTTTTTGCCTTAGGACATACAAATTCGATCATTCTAACTTCACCATAGATACATTTTTATGATACATATAAATTCCCTGTTGTGTATATCAAAACCTGACCATGACCAGACTGTCAATACACAGAATATGAGGATGTTTTGCAGTTCTTTCATACTGCTGGGCTTGCTTTTCTTTCCCAGTATTTGTATATATATATTTATAAGGGGAGGAAATGATAAGAGCCTTGTATTATGCTGAAAGACAAGAAAACATGGGAGTATTTGTATTGGTCTAATGTGGTGCAGAATAGCCTTTCAGAATTGAATAGAGCCATGCTCTTTTGTCTTGAACTGAGGCAGACTAAAAAAGGAATATTGGCATTGCAGAAATTATTTCCACATGCATGAGCTGCCTAGGAAACACAGGCTGAGGAAAAGTTTACAGGGCTCACAAGAGAGAAAAGAGTGAATTTTAAATACCTGGAGGAGAAAATACCAAGAAAACAGTATTGTTAAGTTAAGCTTTCTTCTGCTGAAGGCTTAACCAACTTTGGCCTGAGCCTTCTGGCTTGGGGAATTTTGGATTGTGCTACCTGAAGGACTGGCCACATGCATGTGTTTCAGAAAGGCTTGCCTAGTTGTAGAGCACTGCTGACTCTGACTTCTTTAAAAGAAGACAAGGACTGGCTCTGTTTCAGTATTGAACTCATTCACTGGTCTAGGCAATGGAGTGGCTCCAGAGAGGGATGAAGGAAGACTGCAAATCATGAATGAGGACGGGGGCAAGGACGAATGTGGTCATCTTCACTGGATGTTTTGGTGGGAGAGGTTTTTTCTGAGAATGAAGAGTGTCAGGAGACTTGGTAGCAGCGAGAGAAAATAGCATCTGTATGAAATTGAATCCAAGTTCTTCTAATAGGAAAACAGTGATAGGACAGGACAAGAGACACTAAACACAATGTGAGAAATTCTCGCCTGTAATGAGGATTTTTTTTTCACTGGAGGGGTGATGTAGCACTGGAATTGATGATAGGAGAGTCTGCAGGATCAGCCACCTAGGGGATAATGAGATATTGACTGGATGAAGCCCTGAACAAAGGTGACCTCGGCAGACCTTACTCTGAGCAAGTAGTTTTCCCAAATAACTTAGGGAGGTCCCTTCCAGCCTGAATTCTGAGATTCTGGTCAGTTCCTACAACTTGCAATAGAAGGACATTATATTATGCTTGAGGATGGAGCAGTGTGAGTGTCTGACTCATGATTAGGTTGGAGTCACTCATGAATTCAGTGTATTTCATAACAGAATGTCAGGATCTGTGGGGAAGCCGACAGCTATAAACTTTCTGACTTTCCAAGGCAAGAGATTATTTGCTGACTCATATCACTAATAAATGCTGATATTTAGTCTATACAGCACTGTCAGATGATCCCTTTGAACTTTTCATGATGCTCTGGACCAGGACAAAGGCAAAGGTGTTCTTTGGCCCAAATTTTCAAACCCTCCAGTTCCTCATCTAAAACCTGGTTTGCAGGTCAAGCAAATGGCAGTGGGATGGATCAAAGCAAATGCTTTAGGCTACACCCTGCTCTTGAGGGATGCTCTGGGGACAAAGATGTCTGTTGGTACTTCATCACAATGGTAATGCTCTAGGTTGCAGTTGGTGAGTTGACAGATTGCTGTTTACATCAATATTTTCTGCTGAAAAGCAAAATTCAAGGAGCAGTGCTGATATTTTATCTTATTTTTGTGGGAACATGGCCAGCATTGCCCATAATTCATACTATGGTATGACTAGGACTCTGGTAAGTCACACAGCTTTTCAAAACTGAGACTGACAACTTCTAAATTTAAGCTTAGTTATGCGTGTTTTGTTAACCATATTATGTACTTACAGCAGCTTTTTATAAGTGAAGAACAAGATGACTTCTCATTATCTAGCTAGATAAGTGCCACTAACAAAAGAACAGAAGTTGTTTAATTTGGTCAAAAATCCCTGTTTCGGTTATATTCAAAATATAGAATTTCATGGAGATATGTCTTCATTTGCATTTCCATAGCATAGAAAGGAGGCTGGAGGCACCAACAGCAGTACCTCAGATTGCTGCAGCAGCTGCCTCTATGTTTGTACCCCAAAAACATTTCCTTGTCTTGTCATGAGTAAGTGCATGTGTGTGCCCTGTGTGCAGACAGTTTGATCACTCCTGTCATGCAAAGCCTGGCAGAGATGTGGTGTTTCCTGCATGAACTGCCATATCTTCCCAGCTCACAAGTGAAAGGCTAAACATTAGGCAGAGCCTAACAAGATTTCAGTTCTGCAGCATATTTTAATTTTCAGCAGTTTGTATTCTGCCGTATACCCAACAGTCTTTCCTAAGGGAAAAAAGCATCATAATTAACATGGGATAGATTTCATTCAGTGTACTCTGTTTCCTTCCATTATTGTATTTGCCAGAGGAACTATTTAGTGAGAAGCTTTCTCACGGTATTTTGTACAATTCAAGTGTTTTTAGTTTGTCAGGGGATATGTTTTTTTGGTTCATTGGGGTTTTTTAAATTTGTTTTCAAGAAAGCACTACTTTAGAGGTTACATTTTCTGAAGCCATTGGATTTCAGTTATTTTAGATACATAGTGAGAAGGGAGCAGACAGTAAGAACTAAAAAAGATTATTTTTCCCATTACTGGTAAGAACATCCTCATCTGAGTCCCATTAGAGAGGTAACTGCCTACATTAATAAAATAAACCAATATATAATCGCTACCAGTCTTAATGCTGGGGCTGAATGACCTAATTTAGTAACTCATTTATGATGTGTTTTAGTAGCATGGCCTCTCTTGTGTTACCTGAGTAAATAGAACAGATGCAGATGCTTGCCAGACATTCAGAGTCTCATAAATTTGTCTTACAGGCTAACCTGAATATCCCTTATAAATTCACTGGTCCTCACTTACTGGACTCAGTCTGCAAAGAGGGCATGAAAGCTAGAAGTGCAATATTTATACTTACAAATCCAATTATTGTAACCCTGATCAGTTGAACAGCAGGAATAAACTAGAGAAACAGGAGTAGCACATAAATCACCTCTTCTATTATTAATTTTCCTCTGGCTTTAATGAAGCTGTCTTCTTTATCATCTCAGACATGGTGAAAAGTTATTGCACTGTCTTTGTAGAGGCCTTTTCAGTCTGTTACAGATCTAATTACCTAATTGAGGAACAACTAGTTTGGAGATGAACAGAATTTTTGCTCTGTGGTTTGTTTCTTTCTGTGGTTCCCTCTGAGGTTTCTGTATTTTTTCTTTATGAGGGTATCCATCTTCCATGGAAGTTGACTGTGTGCTTTGGAGTCCATTTGCTGAAGATGGTGATCAAGAGCTGCTGTGTGTCAATAAAAGCAGATCCGTGAAAAAATCCAGTAGCTAATCCAGTTCTCCAAAAACAGCCAATGGAAGTAAATTGACGTCACCCTTCAACCCCTGTGCCATGAGGGTTCCCAGATGAAGGCAGGCAGTGCTTGTGTCTTGAGCAAATTCCTGAGTGTGCTGATGGCTGGTGCAGTCTCACAGCAAAGCCACTGGGCACAGTCCACCAGCAGTTTAGGCAGTATGGCACCTGTGTGAAAGGCAGCTGGGATGCTGGGGTGGGCAGAGACACCACAACATCCTTCTGTGCTTGAGAACAGTCACAAAACTTTCCAGGGGAGTGGGACCCGCCAAGGGTGACTGCTCTTACCACTGCTCAGCATCATCTCTTTGGCAGTGGAAGAAATTATTACATGTGTCTCAAGACTTGTCTTTTTAATGCCAGTAATGTAATTTCTTCCTCTTTCAAAATTGATTCATTTGAAGCCCTAACTTGAGGCTGGTTTTCCATGAATATATTCATTTTTTTAGAATGAAGTCAGGTTTTCCAACTGCCTTCTTGATTAGTCTAATGAATTTTCCTCCTTTCCTGTCATCAAATGCACTTTCCTGGAAGATGGGACAGTTCATCTCTGAAGGAAAATTATTCTTCTGTGGCAGAAAAAGTTTTAAATTAAGATTTTGAAAATGTCTGATGATTATGGGGTTATCAATATTTCAGGTACTCAGTTCAAAACATTGTAAAGTGACAGCAAATGCTGATTACCTGCCCTCTGTTCCCTGATGCTATTCATTTGAGGTGTCCTAAATTAGCAAACAAGACCATAATTCATTCTTGACACAAAATATGTCTCTCCAATTCTGCCCCAGTTTAGAAGGCTGTCTGAATGTTGCCAAGCATGAAGTTTAAACAAACAGATAAATAAATACTTGTCTCTTTTTAATTGCTTCTTGTTCTCTGAACTTTCCAGGTTTGGATTTTCAATGTAATTCTTTTCGGAGAGACACTTCTGTCTCTCCTTGCTTTCCAACTAACTAGGTAGGTTAAGGTGCTAAAAAAACTTGCACAACAGAGGGAACTTTACTAAATAAGATAACTCTACCTGCAGCCATGGCCTAAGCACAGAGACCAGAACCTACACTCACCTTGACTCTACATCCCAGCTAGGACCAACTAGTCACTGTACAAGTGAGGTGGCAGATACTCTTCTGTACTCACCTAATGCAAATCTTCTTAATTCTGCACAGCATCTCCTGTCATCAAGACTCATTCCCTGTGGTGCCCAACTGCTCATTTTTGCCCAGACATTCTGCAGATCTCCATCATCTCTGTCAATATTCCGTGGGAAAAGGACTTGGGGAGGTAACTTCCATGCTTCACATATGAGGTACAAATTACATTACTTTTTACCTGTCCTCTTAATATAAAACAAGTATTTATTTTTTGTAGATTTATTATTTACTCTTGCTAGAAAATGGTAATATTAATTTTCACTCCTTCCCTAGGCTTGGATACCCAAAGACACAGTGAGTTTTCACCAAATGTTCTTCAAAGAGCAACTCAATCTGAGAAATCCTCCTACAAATCCTACACTTATGCATGCAATCAGCCCTGCCAATCCACTGCAGACTGCAAACAGCCAGGGACAGGATTCCAAACAGTTAATGTCAAATAGCTCATTTTCTCTCATCTCCATACGAATTCCTGTCATGTTGCATTACATGTAAACAACTGAGAAACTTAATGACATGCCTTTCAGTCAAAAATTAATATGGCTTTTCAGTCTGAGCAGATTAATTGCAGTTTGTAGCAATATGAAGTGATTCAATTTGATTAGAGTTTCTATTGTTCTTTGAGATAAAATATTTTATGTGAATGTAAAGCCAAGTTTTCTGCTGGCACGACTTTATTGACTTCTGTGGAAATATCAAATACTCATCTAAAAACCATAGTATATCATTGTTGGTGTGCTGTTACAGTAAATACATTTTATAAGCTTCTGTAAATTATATGTGCCAGATCAGATTCCAGGCCCCATGGAAATGTCATTGTCAATTAGGCGAGGAATATTTGGCTTTGGAGGAGACAATTCTGAATGAATCTTTTAGGTTTTTATAATTTTGAAGGGTTTTTCTGCATCTCTGTCTTCTTGACGTCTTGCTCTTAAAATCTGCTTGTAATTTTCTTTAATTTCATTCCTATGTACTCTAGGGTAGTTTCTCTATTCTTGCGACAGACATTGCTCTGGTGTTCTGTAGTCATCCCCTAGACAAAGCCCAGAAGGCCTGCAACACAAGCTCTGCTTGCTGCCAATAGGGGTAATGTGAGGAACTTCCATGAAACCTCTGTGAGTACATCCCTCACTGAACAATATGTATGTACCTCAACCCTTTAGGATGCTTTTGGTTTTTAATCTCCAGCTCCTCTCCTCTCTTTTTTAAAAGCAAAATATTACAGAAAAGATATAAGTGGATAATGAATACATGGCTTGCTGTGTTTGTTTGTCTGTTTTGGTTATGGTTGTTTTTTGTTTAGTTGTTTGTTTTTTTTTCTTTCTTTCTTTTAATAATACCAGTTTCTTTTAGTTTAGTTTTCTTTGTATAGTTTTCCAGTTTGCAGAACAACATGTTTGGGGGTAATCATTGCTCAGAGTGGTCAGAAGTTGTTTGTGGTGTTTTGAATCCCATGGAACTGCACTGGGAGTGGGATTGAAATTTTTTGTCAAGTTTGTGTGCTTGCCAATGCAATTTGCAATTGCCAATGCTGCTGGACTAAAAACAAAAGGTTGCAAATATTCTGCAGAAACTGACAATGTTTGATTGTTTGGCCTCCTACTGAGTGATCAATATTCTAGCAGAGTTTCACTTCTACAGGAGTAGCACATTCTATAGAGCAGGAGATGTTTTTAGTGTAATAGTATCCATATTACATTTAACTGTTACAATACTGCCTGACACAGGGGACCAAAGCAAAAACACTATAGGGAAAAGTACAAGCTGCTGCACTTGGAGCTGAAGCTGTGTGTATTGGAAAGAGTAAGCCTGTAGTTCATGTCACCAGTGGGATATGTCACATACAGATCACATTAAACCAAGCTGCAGAATTGAAGATGTTTAAGTCAGCATGGTAAAATCCCAAAAACATGTTAATAAATGAGGGAAAAAATTGCATTATGAAAATACTGAGTCATTACTTTGGTATGTATAGAAGTCCTTTCTATATAGATTCTTCATCTCTGTCCATTTCTTAAAGACTTTTTTAATATATCCACTCAGAGTGCATAGAAGCAATTAATTTTGATGGGAGAGATTTTGAAATATACAATTTTCACGCTGTGGGTAATAGCATGATTAGGAGGACAATTACTGCAAATTCTTTAGTTTCTCATTGTGAAGATCTCTAGAGGCAGCAGGAATCACTATTGTTACCCATGTGTTTTGTCACTTGAAGGTTGGGATTTTAAAATTTTGTTTATCTAGCGTATCTGCTTGTAAGCCATCACTCCTTAAGAAGTACAGTTTAGGTCTCAGATTTCAGTCTCAGATTTGGGTGACCTAATTACTTGGATGATTATTGAGGCTTCAAAGGCATGTAGCTCAAACTAATGAGAAGGTAGTACAGGAGATCAGATTTGCTGTCTAGTCTTGGAAAAATCAGATTTTTTTTTTTCTGTTTCCATCAGGATTGTTTTCTTTAAAATAGATAAGAACATTTTTTTTTTCAATTTTTAATAAGAAATCTGAAAATTAATGCCTAAAATCAATAAGCTGTAATTCCTATGAGAATTGCCTATCTGGAGCAGCTGGGTTTATATCCTCAAGGGAGAGGCTGAAGAAAGTTGAGGGGAAAACCAGGAGAACATGATTGTTTCTGTATTGATTCACAGATCTGTTTGCCATCAATGCTGTCATTGTGGTGGTGGCATGGGCTGTTACAGCTGAGTGAAGAATGCAGAAAGTAAGGGGGTTTGACCCTACAGCTTGAAGTACTCAAAGGTTTAGTGTTTTGAGTAAGGCGATAATCCAAAGCCTATAAAGGCAGAAGAAAAACAGCCTTTGGCTCCAGTGGGCATTGCATCAGGCCTTCAGATGACTGGCAATCAGCAGACTTCATACTGTGTAATTCTGCATGAAAGAAGCATTAGTTCTCCAACATCCAGTGAGCTGAGGAGGAATAAGACATGCTGTGTCTTTGCAACTCACCCTTCTGGCCAGCAGACATCCCTGTCACTGCAGGCGATGTGGATGTTCTCGCACAACTGGTGGAAAGACATCTAGCTCTGCTTTGCAACTGCTGCTTCCTGCTAAGCCATCACCAGAGAAAGAATTAGCAGAGATTCCATTGTCACATACCTCAAATCTGAACCCTGGGTTATATTTAAATGAGCACAGGAAAGAGACCGAAGACTCTATGACCCCTGTGAATTGGGGGATTGGTTTTTCTAAACTGGAGGGCGAATGTCAGAAGATCAGATTACAAGTGCCTACCCGTGTGTTTTCACTATGTGGTGGGTCATCTGGAGTTCAGGCTCTGCAAATTCCAAGGAGGTGGTTCCAGAGCAGTTTAAGCACTTCAGCAATTCCTAGCACTGGTGGTCTCAGTTTGGGAAGGATTTCCTAACATGTCTGAAAGCCAAAAGCTTCTTTGCTAATTTAATAAAGAAGAGTGAATGAGTGGGTAAGTCCATAGAAGATAGACTAAATCAGGCTAATTTGTTATATAATTGCTTTTTAATGTGGAGAATTAAGGTGACGGCAAGACGACTACATGTTTAATTCTCCAAATAATTACTGGTGTGTATTGACATTGAAGGTGAGAGAGAGCAAGTTAATTTCTGCTTGTTGTTTTCAGCACGTGCCAAACTCTTACTTCACACCAGTGAGAAAAGGCTGGAAGTTGTATATTCCATATGCATGAAGTAACAGTTGGCACAAATCACTAAAAGGAGAAAATTAAAAACCACTAAAGTCCAGCAGCCCAAAATGTCACTTGCTGACAAGTTTTTTAGTCTCTCTGCTAACAAAAAAAGAAAAAAAAAAAAGGAAAAAAAAATTGAAAGCTTCAAACAAAGTATTCCACCTGAGTAAACCTGGGTGTCTACTTAGGTCCTCTTCAATGCAAATAAGGTGCGAGAAGGCAGTAATAGCCCCACTATTCCAACCTCCTCCTCTACACCTTTGTGAAGTGCTATCACGGGCAGCCCCAGAGTGGGCAGGGAAGGATGACAGCACTTGCCTCAGGTTGGTCCTTTCTTCTGCTGGCACTCTTGGCCATCAAAAACCCATCCTTTGCCGTTGATAGCAATGGAGGTGCTTGGAGCTGCTCTGCAATGTAAATCAGAATACTGGAGTTTTATTTCTTCACTTTGCTGGCATTATTGAATTTGACCTGAGAGAGCTGGAGGTAGCTGTATCTGCACAACCTGCCTCTAACTCATGGGTCCTTACATAGGCCTGGGTTATCTTTGGCATTTATCCATGGCTGCCAGTGTTTCAGAAGCACAAAGGGATTCTAGTGTCCTGCCCAGCCCCCTGCTCAACCTGCCCAAGGACCTGCTGCCCATGTCAGCTCCCTGAGCCCACTTACCCAGTGATGCTGCCGCAGGGCCAGGCTCCAGTTGCCCACAGCTCTGCCTGGCCAGGGCCCCGCAGAGCCAGACACATGCCATCCTGTCACCACAGCCCATGTGGTGCCCTGGCAATGGCCATGGGTTACAGGAGCGTTCCCACATGCTTTCTGTTCAAGATGATGTCTTTGCTCACAGAATTCCATGACCATCTAATTTATCCCTGTCACTTGCACAAGTACACATGTGAGTAAGTATGCTTATTGAGAGTCAAGTCGTGTATGAAGTATGGGATAAAGCACACAGAAGTATTATATATTGTTACTCTAAGGTTGCCTCCCTGTCTTGCAATCTCCCTTTCTTCTCCCTTTGCCCTATAGTTTGGTGTCTACAGGGAAGAAGCTGGGGGTGAAGTGAGGCCGGGCCACTTGTAAAGCAAGGAATGACAGGCAAATACATATCAAGAATTAATTTCAGCATGTTTTATATCAAATTACTCAGGAATCACAAAAATTTACTCCTATTTTGTCAGTGGCTAGAATATTACTTCTAAGCCAAAGCTTTCGTGTTCAAATCACTCCCTTATTTTATTTTTAAAGAAAGAATCTATTTTGCAGTTTGACATGTTTCTTGTTTTCAGACTGTTGATTTTCTGTGTGGTTAACTCTAGGCTTCCTACAACTGACAGCTTATTATCTCACCTTATGAAAATTATGCATGACTTCTGGGACTCATCTATCAAAAGGAGAGAACCCCCAACACTCTGAGAAACTGGTACCTTCTCTCTAGTTATCTGGGTTGATGGTTGTTCAGTGAACCTATTGACTGTCTGGAGTGACTTGCATCTTTACAGGTATGGGACTGTATTGTCTTTCTTTGCTGTGTTTAAATGGCAGATGCTGCCCCTGTGTAGTGCCCTGGTTTAACTTTATCTCTGGCCTGGTGGTTCCAAGTGCAGCTGGCTATGTTCTCATTGGACAGTAGACCCTTCATGGGCCTGCAGGAGTAATGGCTGCAGGTGAATGTTTCATCTTCCCCTTATCTCACATACTCTGAAAAACTGTCTCAGTTCAAGGTTTATGCCTTTCAGTGGAGCACTTAAACACACACTTAGCTCTAAGTACTTAATTCCTATTGTTTCATTGCACAGGGATAGATTTCAGTGCCTACTCATAGTTTATGGCTTGCCAGCATTTCAACAGTTCCTTTTGCAGTGGCCAGATAAAAGTGAGGAGCCAGCCCTGACAGTCCCGTGCCTTGGGGGTATGGTTTGTTTTCTGGTAGTGATGGACAATGCCATTCAAGCCTTTGATAATAATCCCACATAGAGATTGATGGAGCCCTAGGTCCAGCTGCTCACTGAGGATTAAGGAAAGGTGCTCTCCAGAAACCTAGGTCTGACCTACAGGGAAATAGGAGAGGGAAAGATTCCCCTACTTTCTCTGGTTGTGGCTACTGGTAGCACCATGCTGTGCTAGAGCAGGTCACCCTAGCAGCACAGTAGGTGTCAAGCCTTTATGCTGTGGCCATAATATATCAATCTGCCAGCACATCCCTTCCAAATCCTATACCATCATCCCCTGTCATCCACACCCACTCTACTGTGTCTCCTCCCAGGATTTTAAGAGCATGTTTAAGGGCAGCTTGAAAAGTGAAAAGAGAGGGAAGGCATCATTCATCTTGTTTATGGTCTGACTGCGCTAACAAAATCTGAGCACCTTGTCCACACTGGGATAAGGTCATAAGAAATAACTGATCACAAGAATAGGAGAAAAATAAATTGGCCATGTTCATCTGAATGATGGAAATAATCTTTGTGGGTAATGCCAAAATGTAATGGGATGTGTTGAAATGTGGCCAGTGATAGACTCCACAACAGAGGCAAGTTTAGAAGCTGTACCTGTACCCCTCCTCCTGGTAGTATGTAAATAATCCGTATCAAACTGAGACTTTTCAGAGAGTTTTTAGCTGGAATATGGAAATATCTTTGGAAGATTTATAATGATTTAATTTTACTGGAATTTGTATGCATTAACTTTTTTTTATGACAATGCAGAAGGAGTTTGGTTTAGGACTAGCTGCCACTGGCTTCCCAAGAATTAGAAAGCCAAGCTAATAAATGGCCTTGATCAGAAGGCACAGCTCACTCTTGTCCCCCTGGAGTCCTGTTCCAGTCAGTTTCCAGCCCAAGCAGCTGCTGGGGCAGAGTGAACTGCTATGTCCAATTGGCAGAGCTGTGACCAGCTTTATTTATAAAAGCTTGTGCTAGAGCATACTCTGCTCTCATTTATACCAGGTAAAAACATGATATGAGTTCTTGGCCCAGTTCTTGTCCTTTTGTGCTGCTGCAGCAAGAATCAGAAAATGCTCTCACTGACAATATCTGGAGAAGTCATTCTGTAAAGGAACAGCTTGGCTTGGGCAGCCTCGGGCCCCTGCTCTGCTCCTCGTGCTGACAGCATTGCTGAGTGCCTCTAGGAGTGCGGTCACCCAAAAACTCTGGGCTCCTGGCAGGGGCTAAGTGGCTTGGTTCTGCAGAGGAGCTCTGTGGCTTCTGTCTTACCAGCTGCTGGCAGTTTTGGACAAGCTGCACTTGTGCCCCTATGCCACCCTGATTTTAAATGTGGCCATCTGGGATGGCTAAAACTGAGGTGAAAAACTGGGCTACTTTTTGACATGTAACTTTTAGGTTGTGTAGGTAATCATGGACAAGTTAAGTCACAGAGGAAGGGCACTAGTCAGACACCTTGGGAATCCCTCTTTCTGGGTGGTATCTTTTGTGGCACTGCTTTGTGTTTTGTGCAAATTCCCAGCTCTTTAGAGATCCAGTCGACTATCAGACAAAAGAACCCTCACATTGTATGCCAGTCTGGGTACATACTTGATGTGAATGAATACAAAGACCTATTCATCACTCCTAGTGCTCACATAACTGACAGATTAAATCACTCTCTGGCTGTGAAGATGACAGTGGCCCAAGAGCTAATGCTGTCTAACAGCCTCCATTAGAAGACCTTCTTTCTGATTGTTTATAATTTTGCCAGACTTCAGCTGCTTGAGCTGGATTTTCCCATGCCATATGTCACCAGAAACTGAAGGTTTGTGTGTGGAGGGGCCTTAGATGAATAGTCATGGCATTGCCAAGCTCATGTATCACTGAAAAGTCACTTGAACACAAATTTTTAGGGAGTAACTGTACATTTCTTCTCTCTTGAGGGAGAAGGAAAAACATCTGGAGTTATATGCTACCCAGTGGTTTGTGTTCAGGCTGAAGTTGGAGCTGCTGCTAAACAGCCCGAATGCAAGAAGTTCCATGTCAAAGGCTGTCAACTTGCTAGATATTGTTGACTCTTTTAACCTTTTGCAATGTCTTTTGAGGCTGTACTTTGTCCACTGACATACTTAGTTCCATATTGTACCTGTGTTTTTGACAGGAGGTTATACTACCAGGGAGCACATCTAATGGTTTCAGTTTGAGCACATCTCGGCTTTGTGTACGTGTGATGGCTTTATAGCTCTCCTCTGCTCAACCTTTTCCTTCTTTACTGCTGTCCAGTTGTTGTATTTCTGACCAGCAATCCCTGTCATACAGGATTAAGAACAGATTTTCAAATCTCCATGCTGCTCTGAGTACCAGGCTGAAGTTGCAAGTTACTAGACATGACAGCTTAGCAGTTTTTAGAAGGACTTTTACTTGGCCCACTGAATCAGTGTTGGTACATTTTCCTCTGCATTTCCAAACAGTTCAGTAAAGGTCAACAGGAAGAGCTTTCAGGCTGAACAGTCCCTGGTGAGGTGGTTGTGTTGGGAGGACAGTTGGTCACCAGAAAGAAGTGGTATGGATGTGGGTCAGGGGTGGGATGGGGTTAGAGCACCTAAAGTATCTTTGAGAATTGTGTGTATTTCTATAATATCTGCACATGACAGCTCAGCTGGGTGGAAATGTGCTGTCTGGCCTGCAGCCTATATAACCCTTTCCCATTCCCTACAGAGTCTTTTATTAAGTGAGCTTTACAAGGACCTAGAAAGGGTCTCTACCTGTCACAGAAATCTGAAAAGGGCAATGCAGTTTCCCCAAGGGATGTTTTTCCTTAACCATTACACAAACCAGAAAATTTCCAGATATCCGTAAAAACTGTGTGGGCTATGTTTTCCCAAACCAGGCAATTTGAACTGCAGAAGCCATTGCCTAGGAACTATCTAGAGGCAGGCTTTATAACCACACAGAATATTTTCATTTAACTACCTGCACTACTGGACCATCATATGATTTAGAGCTCTGACAAACCTGAACTCCCATTAAACTAGATAGCTTGGGTCCATTATCCCAGGAAGACTGTTCAGGGTGGCCTGCCAAGAGCAGCTGGCCATTGACTGCTTTCAGAATGGGTTTTGCAGCATGCTGTGGTCTGAAATGGCAGTACCTTGGCTAATTTAATGCTTTAGTTTGGTGTGTCAATGCCATGCTGCAGTTTAAATAAGGTCTGTGGTAGAGGCACATCTGCAGTCCGAAATTGTCATCATTCTGCACTGCCAGCATGGTGTAATACACTGCACCGATCCTCAAGCCAAGATTTTAGAAAATTAATCTGGATCCTATAAACATTTTAATGGACGGAAGCAAAAATACTTGTATGACCTGACAGGTCTTTTTGTCTCCTAAGTAGGACTTCATATGGAGGAAGTGGTCTTTTCCCTTAGTGACAATAAAAGCATTTTATATTTTTGCTGCAATGGAAAGATCATGTATTATATAGATCCCACTGAACAGCATTCAGCATGCTGCAAATGTCTTTAGGTTTCCATTATAAACTTGACTTTATTCCTATTCCTCCCTTTGCCAAAATTAGCCCTATCCACCTACAGCTTCACAGGAATAATCTTATTATGGGACAGATTTTTTGGAAGAGTTGAAGGAAACTGGTCAAGGTGTTTAAGAGAGATGATGGCTAAAAAAAATGAGTTCATCTGCTTGGAGATTTTCCTAAAGACTTTTTGGCTTGTAACATCCTGAAAATTCATTTGCCTAGAGATTCAAAAAATATTTCAGATCTGTTGGTCTTGGCTAAAAATGGTGCCTTTGAATAGTTTTAGGCTGTCTGGTGACAGAATTATTTGGTTACTGAAAGTGGTCCCTGCTGCCATATGTTATGTGCTCTTTGGAGATCTTAATTCATCTAGTCAGTAGCAATATGGTTATAAATTCATGGTAGCAATATACGGTTTACAAACAGCTCTGCATCTATCCTGAACTGACACATTCCTTATCTGAGGCTGCTCCTGTCTGCAGGTACTGTGGTCTAAAATCCTCACGTGTATGTTTCCTGATTCCCACTGCAATCCACACTGAAACTGACAGCATGGTTTTACAGTCCCTTCTGCACATTCCCTGGAGGCCTTTTTGAAAGGGAACAGAATTCAAAGTTTGGTCTGCTCATTTCCGTGGTTTTTACTGGGTCAAAAAAATCATACCTGCAATGATTTGTGCCAATATGGCTGCAAGCCACGCATGATGAGACTTAAGCCAATATTATTTTTTAGCATAAGTGTTTTGGGACTTATTTGTGGTTTTATGACAAAGTAATTTCTGAGGCATTATATTCTATTCTTCAGGAGAATTAATTGCAAAATATGTGCTCAGAACTTTCTCATAATTGGGATTTTTTTTAAATATGGTTGTTGAAGTATGACCAAAACCATAGGCAAACATTCATTAGACTATTTTCAGTATCCCTCACGTTAAGAAGAATGTGACATCTGCAAACAGTACAGTTCTGCTGTACCACTGCACTGATGTGGTCTCCCTGGATGACTCCCTTAGCTAGCACTGAAAGTTATAGCAATGTGAACAGT